ATATTGGTCGGACTAGGCATCAAATCTGGGTCCTACTGGTTGGCACTGCGCACCGCTAACCACTCGGCCACCCGACATTTTTACCTTTTCGCACATTTTGGTTCCTCGTAGTCTTTGCTGACTGTCCAATTCATTTCTATGTAAAAATTCAATCATATAGCCTGTAATTGCCTTATTTTGACCCTTGCCTTTGATTCACCAAACTCGGGGCCTGAAGTTTTTATTATACAATATTATGACTTATTCATATCTAAAACATATTTTCTGTATGCTATTTGATTAGTCATCTAACATCCCTATCTCACTTTAACATCATCTATTCTACAAGCACACTGTGCTATTCTACATTCTGTCCGACCGCAATTGAATTAAATACAAGCCCCAACGGATGCTTAATTGAAAACGGAACCAAAGCAACCGAGAATTATATATGTACACACACGACTAGAGCGCGCTATTTTAAATCAGCTTGTCGACTAAAAGCTGTTCACACACACACATCAACAAAAATCACACAAAGTACCAGTTACTCGCCACAATAACAAACATTGCGGTAATGTAGAACAAATGCAGTGCTTAGCTTATCAGCGACCCCCTGGTGAGACTTTTTAATAACACAAATACTGTGTGTTGACATCGACAGGCCAAGCATATAGAAAATATTTATAAGCGAAAAAGAGACAACAATAATAGAGACAGTAGCCAGCGAAAATCTGCATGTGAAAGAGTAATGCTTTAATCCATCAAAAAATAAATCAGCTATGCCTACTTGAATTGGGAAATTATTTTGACTATCAACAGTTGGGCGCAACATGTAGTCATCGGCGCATGTTGTGACCGCCACAAAATATCGAATATCAGTCGGTAGAGTGACATCGACGCGTATGCGTCGTTGACTCGGCGTGCCAAGTCGGTTTTTTAAATTCGCACTGAGCTTGGAAAGTGTCCAAAAAAAAAAATTTCTAAATATATATATAAAAAGGAATTCTTATTTTAAATTCTGTCGAAGAGAAACACGCGCGGATAACACATCGTCGCGGCGGTAAATAGGTGCGTGTCATACGCCCCCTCGAGTCGCGCGAGCGCACTCTTACTCGGGGGGCGGCAGCCATAGTAAAGAACTTGTTGTGAACATTTCTTAATATTACAGAACACAGTGAANTAACACATCGTCGCGGCGGTAAATAGGTGCGTGTCATACGCCCCCTCGAGTCGCGCGAGCGCACTCTTACTCGGGGGGCGGCAGCCATAGTAAAGAACTTGTGAACATCTTAATATTACAGAACACAGTGAAAAAAAACACATTTATTTAATTCCGTTACGGACTATGAAATTTCTTTTTCTATTTGTTTGCGCAATCGCCGCCTTACACGCTCACTACAACGGCCATGCGGCACAACTACGTCGCGTCTGGATGCAGGATCACTGCCAACAGGGCATCTGCACGGGCATCGAAATCGGACGCAACGACTATGTCATTCTGTCGCAGATGCCCATAGCTAAGCAGCTAATGCTTACCTTCCTCAATTCCAGCATCGCCAAGATACCGCACCTAATGTTTGACACCTTTCCCGACTTGCAGGTGCTGCGCATGGAAAACTGCTCGGTGGAAACGTTCGAAAAGCCACAATTCGAGGGGGCCAGCAATCTGATGAGTCTCTTTCTGGGCCACAATCTGCTGCGCGACATACCGAAGAACATCTTCCTCGGCGCCGATAACCTAAACACGCTGCACATGAACCACAATCAGCTACGCCTGTTGCACAATTCCAGCTTTCATGCGCTCAAAGAGCTGCGCGAACTCTCGCTCGCCGACAATCAGCTGGAGCAGCTGCCGCTTGGCGTATTCACGCCGCTGCGCAAACTTTTAGACCTCAATTTGGGCGGCAATCGTTTGGCTGCGTTTCCGCGTGGCATTTTTGATCGCAACTTTAACTTGACGCGCATCAATTTGTCGCGCAATCGCTTCGTGGCCTTCGAATCGGAGCTCTTCAAGCTGCAGCCGCGCATCAAGCTGCTGGATCTCTCCGGCAACGAGCTGCAGGAACTCACGCTCAACTTTGCCGTTCTGGAGAGCGTGCATGCCAACAACTGCGACATGCGCAAGCTCACCGTCTACGGCTACATCTACGAATTGGAGCTGCGCAACAATTCGCTGCGCGAGCTGCCACACATACCGCACGAGGCCAACGTGACTAGTCTGGATTTGTCGCTCAACCCGCTCGGTACGCTGCAAGGCAATCCGCTGCGGCGCTACACCGGGTTACAGCGACTCAACTTGAGTGCCACTGGCATGCACGAAGTGCCCGAGGACGTGTTCAAGAAGCAGACACAACTAAAGCTGCTGNCAACTGCGACATGCGCAAGCTCACCGTCTACGGCTACATCTACGAATTGGAGCTGCGCAACAATTCGCTGCGCGAGCTGCCACACATACCGCACGCGGCCAACGTGACTAGTCTGGATTTGTCGCTCAACCCGCTCGGTACGCTGCAAGGCAATCCGCTGCGGCGCTACACCGGGTTGCAGCGACTCAACTTGAGTGCCACTGGCATGCACGAGGTGCCCGAGGACGTGTTCAAGAAGCAGACACAACTAAAGCTGCTCNCAGCTGCCGCTTGGCGTATTCACGCCGCTGCGCAAACTTTTAGACCTCAATTTGGGCGGCAATCGTTTGGCTGCGTTTCCGCGTGGCATTTTTGATCGCAACTTTAACTTGACGCGCATCAATTTGTCGCGCAATCGCTTCGTGGCCTTCGAATCGGAGCTCTTCAAGCTGCAGCCGCGCATCAAGCTGCTGGATCTCTCCGGCAACGAGCTGCAGGAACTCACGCTCAACTTTGCCGTTCTGGAGAGCGTGCATGCCAACAACTGCGACATGCGCAAGCTCACCGTCTACGGCTACATCTACGAATTGGAGCTGCGCAACAATTCGCTGCGCGAGCTGCCACACATACCGCACGCGGCCAACGTGACTAGTCTGGATTTGTCGCTCAACCCGCTCGGTACGCTGCAAGGCAATCCGCTGCGGCGCTACACCGGGTTGCAGCGACTCAACTTGAGTGCCACTGGCATGCACGAGGTGCCCGAGGACGTGTTCAAGAAGCAGACACAACTAAAGCTGCTGGACATTTCGGCTAACTCGCTGTACAACCTCAAGTTTGCGCTCTTCAGCAATTTGAAATCACTGCAGTATTTCTACTTCCAGCAGAATAACTGGAACTGCGACTTCCTGCAGCTGTTGATGAATTCGTTTGTAAAGAAGCGCGATATCTCCTTCATGGAGGATGCAACCGAGCCGGAGTTGGTCGACGATTACGTGGATGGTGTGGCGTGTTGGTATGAGAGCAACAAGCCGGCGTCAAAGAAGTGCTCCGGCGAAGGACTCTCGGAGGCCGCCTTGGAGCTGGCCATTGTGCGCAACGACATCAAATCCTTCATGGAGGTGGTGGAGAAGAAATTCGTCAAAGTCTACCGCATGCTAGACGAGCTGAAGATGCGCTTGTAGCGCCGACGAGGGCAGCGTGATTGCCTGCAGGAAATCACCCGACAATGGACCATTTGGCTTGAACTTTTGTTATTCTTACTGGCTTACGTTTTGATTTTAATCGCATTATTGTTTATTTAATCGCATTTAATGGAATATTCAAAATACATAAGTGTAACACGATTATCGTTTGTCGCGCAAGATTTTCACAATGACCATATTTAATCGCAATTTATAATAACATAAACTATATACGTATTTTAATCGCATTTAATCGCATTTAACCGCATTTAATCACCAATACTTGCATTCCAAAAATGACAAGGTTTTAACAATTTACGAAATAAGTGGCAGAAAATTATACAAATAAGTTTATGTTTCAATAAGTAACAGTATAAAAATCGATGCAATAAAAGTCTAGGTTAAANCGCCGATAACCTAAACACGCTGCACATGAACCACAATCAGCTGCGCACGTTGCACAATTCCAGCTTTCATGCGCTCAAAGAGCTGCGCGAACTCTCGCTCGCCGACAATCAGCTGGAGCAGCTGCCGCTTGGCGTATTCACGCCGCTGCGCAAACTTTTAGACCTCAATTTGGGCGGCAATCGTTTGGCTGCGTTTCCGCGTGGCATTTTCGATCGCAACTTTAACTTGACGCGCATCAATTTGTCGCGCAATCGCTTCGTGGCCTTCGAATCGGAGCTCTTCAAGCTGCAGCCGCGCATCAAGCTGCTGGATCTCTCCGGCAACGAGCTGCAGGAACTCACGCTCAACTTTGCCGTTCTGGAGAGCGTGCATGCCAACAACTGCGACATGCGCAAGCTCACCGTCTACGGCTACATCTACGAATTGGAGCTGCGCAACAATTCGCTGCGCGAGCTGCCACACATACCGCACGCGGCCAACGTGACTAGTCTGGATTTGTCGCTCAACCCGCTCGGTACGCTGCAAGGCAATCCGCTGCGGCGCTACACCGGGTTGCAGCGACTCAACTTGAGTGCCACTGGCATGCACGAGGTGCCCGAGGACGTGTTCAAGAAGCAGACACAACTAAAGCTGCTGGACATTTCGGCTAACTCGCTGTACAACCTCAAGTTTGCGCTCTTCAGCAATTTGAAATCACTGCAGTATTTCTACTTCCAGCAGAATAACTGGAACTGCGACTTCCTGCAGCTGTTGATGAATTCGTTTGTGAAGAAACGCGATATCTCCTTCATGGAGGATGCAACCGAGCCGGAGTTGGTCGACGATTACGTGGATGGTGTGGCGTGTTGGTATGAGAGCAACAAGCCGGCGTCAAAGAAGTGCTCCGGCGAAGGACTCTCGGAGGCCGCCTTGGAGCTGGCCATTGTGCGCAACGACATCAAATCCTTCATGGAGGTGGTGGAGAAGAAATTCGTCAAAGTCTACCGCATGCTAGACGAGCTGAAGATGCGCTTGTAGCGCCGACGAGGGCAGCGTGATTGCCTGCAGGAAATCACCCGACAATGGACCATTTGGCTTGAACTTTTGTTATTCTTACTGGCTTACGTTTTGATTTTAATCGCATTATTGTTTATTTAATCGCATTTAATGGAATATTCAAAATACATAAGTGTAACACGATTATCGTTTGTCGCGCAAGATTTTCACAATGACCATATTTAATCGCAATTTATAATAACATAAACTATATACGTATTTTAATCGCATTTAATCGCATTTAACCGCATTTAATCACCAATACTTGCATTCCAAAAATGACAAGGTTTTAACAATTTACGAAATAAGTGGCAGAAAATTATACAAATAAGTTTATGTTTCAATAAGTAACAGTATAAAAATCGATGCAATAAAAGTCTAGGTTAAAAATTCGGGGGCGTTTTATTTTCACTAACTATGGGAGAGTACCATAAAGACGGCGCTAATTGCAAGTTTCGTCTCTCAAGCCTTTATGGTCGTCAACTTTCTGAGCTTTAGAATTATAAATAACTCGGAATAATACAGCAAGGGCTTTTTAACCGACTTCAAAAAAAGTATGAGGTTATCAATTCGTCGGAATATTTTCATTTTATGTGTGTTGCCGAATGACTATAGGCAATGCGAAACAAAAAAAAAACAATTCGCAATTTTCGCAACCTCAAATTCGAATTTAGCGGCTCGAAATATATGTCGGTAGGTGGGTCTTGTTGAAAGCACACATCACATTTTTTTATGTGCCGGTGCTATAACTTAGATAACTGAATAGGACTAACTATAACTAAGTTTTGTTGACAGGATATTTTTTTTATAAATTATTTTTGGTCTTATTTTTTGCGGTTTTGCTGGTGGCTATCTCACTCCATCAGCTTTAGGTTGAGCTTTCATCATCTACTTATTTAACTTTATAAGTATTTATTAAGTCAGAGTAATAACGATTTTACAAAGGAGCCTCATTTCCTATTTCGTTGCCTTCTATACCCTTGTGGATTTTATAACATTGAGAACAACGCCATCATAGACTCCTTGAGAGGCATTGATTTTGACGATGGTAACAAAATCATTCAGTCAACAAATGGGATCAAACTCTATAACTCACCATGTGAACAGAGGCACAGCATAGGGCGGTGGGCTCTCAGCGCTGCTATGGGCAATAGCGCTGAACGGTATTCTGCTAGAACCCAATAGAGGGGCGTCAAAGTTTTAGCGTACGCGGATAATGTTGTAATAACGAAATATTTACTTTAAATAATCCTGGAAAGGCTACACGCTTGGGCTACGAGAGGCTGTCTAAATGTGAACTCAGCCAAGATAGAACTTTTCCTATTCACAAATAGAAACAAAATACCACAATTCAAACTGCCGTCGCTAGACGGAAAGACACTCACATTATCATACAGCACTTCGGAGTTGTGCTGGACACTTACCTTAATTGGAAAATCTGTATCGAATATCGTAGGCAGACCTTTACTACACTCGAAAGAGAAACTTCAGCAGAAAACTGGGGACTTATACTAAATTCCCCGGGCACGTAATTCGCTCTCCCATTCGTAATTGGCTCTCCAATTACCCTTCGAATTACGTAATTCGCCATACAAAATTTTGAGAGCGTATTACCTCACTTGTAGGTAATTCAGGCCCAATTACCATGCGAATTACGAACAAATCGCTGCCGTCTCTAATTTTAATCGGAATTTTATAGAACTTAGCTGCCAGAGCAAGAGAGAATAGAAGGAATCAAAAAACAAATAAAGGAAGGAAATTAAGGAAAACACAATGAATTGTCAAATTGAATTAGGAATGAGTCGTGTAAACGGGGTAATTCACCAAGGTAATTCTGAAGCGAACTACGTAATTGGCAGTGCTCGTGGGGACAAAGTATAAAATCTAATCTTGTGATGTGGATGTCTACCGCTGCCATAAGACCAATCCTAACATACGGTGCTTTGAAGCATACAAAGACCACCAAGCTCAGGAGTAACTGGTGCGGTAAGACCCTGCCCGACGGAAGCGCTAGATGCTACCCTCAACCTTATTCCTATCGATCTTGAGCTGAAAGAAGTGGCTATGAAATCGACGTTCAGACTCCTGGGGGACTAGGCACTTCGGACATGGGTTGATCATTAATTTAATGCAATTAAGTAGGCTGACAGACTGTACAGTTTGTGGTGTTGGAGCGGGAGACTATTATTACCTAAGCTTATTAGAGAAATCAAAACGGTACTGTGCTCAGTGTGTCAGCCAAATACCGTCTCTCTTTCGTCTGGGTTTCAGGACATAGGAACATAGGAGCAATCAGCAGGCTTATAAATTGGCGAAGGCGGGTGCCGGTTTGGATGAATACGGATCGAAGGCACTAGGCTGCCCTCTTGGGATAATCCAAATAGCGAGATAACTTTGGACTTGTTTCAACTGGCTATAAACAGATGGTCAGCTATAAGCGGCCTATAAGATATCGTGAAAACTATGACCTGACTACAACTAAACGAAGACCTTCCACCTGCCTATCAGTTCAAGGCCGGAGGTGTTCACAGTAGTTGAAACCATTACGGGGCACTGGCCCTAGGCAAACACGCCACAAAAATCGGACTTCCCATAATAGGATTTGCGACAGCTGTTAGCTAGAATATAGCGAAAATAGTGTTCAACATTTTCTTTACCATTTTAGAACCTTCCACTAGGTGTCATTTCCTTGCGCGGTCACTCTTTCTAAATTTTTGCACGTAACATTCTTTTCGAATTAAGTAAAACAAGTTGTCATACGTGTAGTCTGTGCTACGTGCGCTTCATTTACCGATTGAGCTATTCTCGCAGCTAGGCAAGTTTCTTCGCATGTTGGTCGCTGGGCAGCAGACAGGATTATTCCTACTAGGGCAGTCGTTGTAGTACACAGTGCCACAAGAAGCTGAACTTTCTCCATTAGACCATAGTGTAAAAGCTTTTTGCTGGCGTTACTGAACTTTTTCTTTCTTTCTTGAAAATTTACCATCTGCATAATATTACTCCACGTGATCCATTTAATAGTTGGATTACCTATATTGACTTTTTTCTTCATATTTGGAGTAACTCGTTGGCTGAGTGGAAGATCGACCAATCTCGGCAGCCAGTTCAAAAATGCCTTATCTCAGAAAGTTTTTCAACAACGCCTTATTTCAGAATTTCGTTGAAGAACTCCCAATTTAGGAATTTGATTGAAAACCATCCGATCTCAGAATTCGGTTCAAGAGCGCCCTATCTCAGCTGCTAATTCAAAAATGCCCTTAATACTAAGTATATGTACGTCGAATATTTTCATCTAAGTGAAAGAGTAATATAAAGGCAGAACTCAAGTCAGTTGATCTACTACTACAGTTTCTAATAAGAGGTATCACCTGGACGATTCTATTAAAAGAGTCGATGTCCAAAACTGCCCGATAAGCTAAGGCTAGGTGATTAATATCTTTTCGCAAAAGTTCGTCGGCAAGGAGTATTAGTTGAGGATAAGAAAGCTTTAACCTTGGTAGGCAATCAAAATAGTTAAACTACGCAATATTTATATATTTTATGGCATTCATGTAAAACACTCTTCCGACTTAACTGCTTGAAAGTACTTTACTGCAACCACATTTGCACTTCGGCTCCATTAAACTACAACAATCTTATAAAATTTGTATGCCATTAACCTCAAAAGTGTCTATAAATCAAATTGGGTCTCAAAATCACTTCTATTTATGACATTCATTCATCATACATAATCAAGCAAACTTTTCACTCTGCTCTGCCTATAGAAATATAGTAGGTAAGTAAGTAGATATACTCAGCAGCGCTTATTTAAGCAAGTAAATTATTATCAATGGAATTTGTTCGCAAATTCGCATTTATGCAAATTTCAAAAACATTTTTTGCAACACGCGAACAACACAAAATTCCCAAATGGCCGCCCAAACTGACATAGTCACGCCGAAAGGGTGAGTCATTCATAACTCGGCCATTTGTGGTTTCATCCAGCTGTTCGACAGCGAAACCCATATAACGGCGAACTAAAATACTAGTCTACATACATATATGGCGATTACTCAAGCCATTAAGAAATTAGCATAATTTTTAAACTGCAATAAATATACAATTTAATGTAGAGCGAACGAGGGGAGGAGGGGGGTCGGTTTATTCATTCATTCATTCATTCACTCAAAAGTAAATTTCAATGGAAATTCTACGCCAAGAGGAAGTGTATGTATAAAAAGTTTTTCATGTGCCGGAATACATGGCGAAATATTTATGTTCGAATGAATGCCTGAATACATATCAGTTGCATCATGAATGAAGATTTATTTATGTTGCATTAAATTTAGTCACTTTGACTATGTCATTGCTCCCCTCGGGTACAGTACGAAAACTTTTTCTGTGGGTTAATATGTAAAAACAAACAAAAAATTAAAAAATTGTTTGTAGATAGCTACATACATACATATGTATGTATGTGTTTGCTGTGATTTTGTCGCCACGCTATGCTCGTAAATTTCAACCGAAAAGCGTTACGTTATGTGCAACGAACAGCAACAAAAATTTGTTTTATGTCACATTAATTTACGTAAAAGCTTTTCAAGCGCTACATACATACATATATACATCCATTAGTACATATTTATTTGTTTGCTATGTTGCTTTTGTTTTTGCCATTTGACTAATTAAATCTAGTCATGTGGTTGTTTTGGTTTCCTTTGCATTACAGCAACATAACTTAATTGAAGAAGCGCATACGAAAGAATAAAAAGGTTCATGTTTGCATGGAATCTATGCATTTCTTGATACATTTATTTGTAGATATGTATGTATGTACATTAGGCATATGACTATATTAAGATATTATTGTCGGTCACTGTGAAGAGTAGTTAATCCCAAATTACCGTGCTTCCTAGGCACCGACGATATACACAGTCAGCGTCAAAAGTGTGAATACCCTCAGGTTTCTTTATTTACATATAGATATTTTCCATACTAAATTTTTCTTATTTTTTGTCTAAAAATGTCATTCATGCAACAGCAATAGCGAGCAGAATAAATTGTTTCAATTTCATATAGAATTCGGGAAAATTCAAGAAATACCAAAAAAAATGTTCATCAAAATTTTGAACTTTTCAATTCCATTTCTTAGAAAAAATTTTAGTATGCAGTTTTGTAAATTTTACTATAGTGAGATGCCAGTTTCTAGTCTCTTAAAACTACCGTTGATTTTTTTAATCTCTATTTTTTGTCGAGGGTGTTGCGCATTTTCTTCCATATAAAAATATATTTTGTTCATGCGATTTTAAAACAGGAATCACACGATCTGTACATTTGTACAGATTTATATATTCTCTCAGTTGCAGAGAGGTGTTGTTTACAAAGTTGTTATTGATCTGAACTCATTATCG